CCCGATCTCCAAGGCCGAAGGGCACAGACATAGCTGGGCGACTCAAACAGCACTGTTCAGTCGTGTTTGTTGGAAAAGTGTACCCAAAGGATCGCTCCTGAAACTGCTGGGAAAGCCCTGGCGCCCAAGCAAGTGTAATGACCTCATGTTCTTTTTCCTGGCAAGGCTTTGAGGTGGCCCTTGATGCTGTCTTTGGTTTCTCCTTTAAGGGCACGAGCCTCGGCACCAGTTGAGTGGTGTGCTTTGGACTTCGGGTGGAGCCATGGGGGACAGTCGGTGGGCGGAAAGCACCTGAGCAACATTCTGTCATTTTCACAGAATCTGGGAATATCGATCCAGACAGACTCCTTGAAAATCTCAGTCATTAGGGAGATCCAGAGACACGTTCGTCCAAAGAATCAGATTCTTTGCCACCTTTGCTCGGCAGCTGAGACTCGCCACGCAAAACACTATTAGCTTATTGTTTCTAATAGCAAACATTGTTACTACTAGTAAGGCCAGGAGCCCCTAGTAGCTTCTTGCTCCTAGTAGTAAGGCACTTGTTTCTAATAGCTTTTTTGTTACTACTAGTAAGGCACCTGTTACTACTAGCGTGGCACTTGTTTCTAATAGCTTTTTTGTTACACCTCTGGAATTCTATGAGGGTGGCGTCCACTCCGAACGCCTGCGTCTTGGGTCGATGGGCCAGGCCACGACCGCCCTTTGCCGAGATGCTGAAGGCACTTGGGAGAGGTTTTGTGGGAGTCAAGTGCAGGTACCGAACAGTGACTAATACCAGCTAGAAGTATATCTGAGACTATACAAGATCAGGTAAAAGAAAGCCAAAGGTGTCCTGCAGGGAAGATCTCACAATTTCTGTCCAAGGTGCATTTGAGATTTTCCACAACCGACGTTCCTTAAGTTGATTAAAATGTACTCAATGTGGGAGCCATCAAACTGTGCATGTTTGATCAAAAGGGTGAAATCAATCCAACCAACGATGCATCCAACGGATACCTTGCGCATCCTTGCGCCCTGGACTTAATCTAGAAGTTCATCAAATCCAGATGGTGTAGAGATTAATAGAGGAAAGATGCTCTTCCCAACTCCGACCCTAGTGTGATCACTCTCTGTGGGCTGGCAAGGCTATTCAAATCTCAAGCTTGAAGGTCATGTCTGTGGACATCCCAAGCGGTTGGGATGTGGAGACGCTTTGCTGCGACATGGAGGGTACTCAGCTGTGTCGGCTGCTGTCAAACTTTGGGGAAGACGATTTGCTTGTATCGACTGGAGCGCACCCACAGAATTAAAGACTTGATTTTCATGGACGCATCGGTTTCATGCCAGGTTTTCTCACCAAACGCTCTCAGTAGAACATGGGGCAATCATGCCATAAGCAACCAGCATGTGGTCGAGTTAGGACTCCTTTGGCAATTCTTTGGCCAGATTTGTTCGAAAGAATCCATTGGATTCGTTGCATGGATTCAATATGATTCAATGGATTTGCAACGAACATCTTGAACCGACCGGCTCAGGAAAGGGGACACCACGGGCCCCTTGGATGACAAGGAGGACCACGGGCTATCAAGGTACCTCTACCGTACCTCGCTACATCTCAAGCAACATCAAGCTATCAAGCAACATTCTTGCACAGATGACTTGGGTCAATCTTCCTGTGTCACCATCAATAAGTCACTGACTGGCACCCTACTCCGAGATGCTCGAAGAGGCTTCCATCCTCGAAGCTTCCGTCTTCCATACACCGAGGCGACGGGCTGCAACCCGATGCCTTGATCTCCCTGACGGCGCCCAAGAAAGCGGCTGCCCATTTTAATGGTCGACACTTCCTAGGCGGACCCGGTGGGGCGCAAAGGGTGTGGCTTTGGAGCAGTTCAGGCTGAAGATGAACAAGACTACCATTCAGATCCGTATCGGAAAAGGTCAAACGAATGAGAGATGTCAAAAAAATGCCAAAGGTGTTGCTGCAACAGAGATTGCTTGGCCAAAGCATTGATGCAGGTTGTCGGACTAGCATTACAAGAAACTGAGCTTTGTGAGTTTTTTGTGCAACTTTAACTATACAAGTTTTAAGTAGCCGAACCATCCGGAGATAGCCATCATGTGAGTTTGACCACTTTCAGGATCAGCGAATGAAAGGCAATGGTCGGGATGATTCGACATGCATACACTGTGGCTCACTGTAAATGACTGGGTTCTTTGCCTTGGTACCTTGGTTCTATGCCTTCAAACACATGTTAAATCGCTTGATAGACATGTGGTCGCCAGGGGGGCGATTCGTTCCCCCCGGGTATTGTGGCGACTTGGCGGCAGCGGTAGGATTAATGCATGTCAAACATCGACGTGGAGAGAAGCGATGTGGAGGCGGAGGCACATGTGTGAATCAAAAACGACTGTTCAAAAAGACGACCACCTTTGGCCAGCTTCCCCGACTTCCAGAATGTTACCGGTTCGGTTTTAAGGTTTAAGTTATTAGTCCCGTAGAGCAGAACTCAAAACATTGGACAAAACCTTGGACCGTCAGTCTCAGTTTGGGATATGCACCCATCACCGCTGTGTACCAGGGTGTTGATTAAGAATGAAGAGGCCAGCATCGAATCGTTGGGTCTCAGAATCTAATCTTAGGAGAAATACAAGCTGCGGCTGCCGGCCTATCCTGGCGTTTCGCAGATAGCCCCCTGGACAGTGGTTGTGGGCAGGGTCACTTCAGCGCTGAAGAACGATTGCTTGGAAAGGCGTTCAATTGGGTGTTTCTTTCCAACTCATTTGAGAGTTATTTGCTTTGGTGTTGGGAAGACGATCTACATGACATGGTTGCCCTTTGTCTTTGTGCTTTGGCTCACCGTGTTGGGAACCACAGTAAATGTATGTAAATGTTTTTGGGTAACGATGCAGTCGATTTCGTGCCTCGGAGCACGAATCCAGTGCGTTCGCTGGTTTTTTCGGTATCCTACTGGTAGGTTAGAAAGCCCTTTCAAAATAGCTGGATTGATGATTGAACGGAATTTGACTCCGTTTCATGGACTTGCAAGGTTCTTATCATGAGCGAGACAAGTTTAGCGAATCGTGAGGCCATGGACTTCCTTCTGCACTTTTGGTTGGTTGCAAGGTCTTCCCAAACTAGTTCCAATAGAAAGTCAATGTCTCTTGCGTGACTATGCCGTGTAGATCTCGGTGGTCGCCGTATCATTAAAAAACGTCACCGCTTCGAAGTTGGGTAAGAAAGCACCGCCAAAGCAAGGGCACATAGGGTAGTTGCTGATGAATATTGGGCAGGGCCATGACCATATTTTGGATCTATAATCTATACCAAGCCGTATGCCGCTTATGCCTCCCGCATCTCCCACAGGTCTTCCCGTGCTCTCAGGTTGAACTCCTCGACAAGTCCGAGCTCTGAGGACTAGCTCCTGTCGGTGGACGCGCCGACGGAGCACGCGGAAAATAGTTGTGGAAAAAGTCGTCTCGGGTGTTGGGAGTGCTGTGGCATGCTGTGGCAGGGTGTCAGTCATTTCCACACCAAAGTCCCTGATGTTTCACAAAAACAAGAGCGACCAGGTGTAATTGTGATATTCAAGTGTCGGCGTGGCCCTTGGGCTAACCGGCATATATATACTGCCTGTATCTCCCTGTGAACGTCACGTTGACCCTGGCTTCGATCGTAATCTTGTTGCTTCACCATGCTCACACTGGCGCAAGTGCCCAGGTTTACCATTGGCCAATATTGGCCATTATTTCACAGAAATATGATGAAATATGTAAAGAGACCTAATCAAAGCCCAGACCAGACTGCTTTGTGCGGGCAGTTGTATCCTTCATCTCCAAGTGACACTCGGTGAGATCAAAAATTGCGCAGGGGGACCTCGTCGCATGTCCCAAGGCCGACCGGACCGGAAGCTGGCTACATGTTCATTGTTGAAACATTCAGCCAATTGGTGAAAGTCATGTGAATCATTTTATATGATTATATACGTGTGTTTTTCTGATGTTCTTTTGGTTTTGTGAAATTTACATGTCAAAAACTCGTGCTGATGTCGTGGAACCACGCTGGTGGTCGAAGTCCTGTCGAGGAACGATGAGTCGAAGTCCTGTCGAAGGGCCTGGGGCCCATGGTTTCTTTGATGCCGCTGGAGGCAGATCCGAACCCAAAAAGGGACTCAAAAGGCGGAGTTGCATCAAACATAGAACTGGATCAGTGGCAAAAGTGTCTGAAACCACATGGGTGATGTTAGTTTGATGGTGTGTTGGATCGTGTATGTACCATGGGTGTGCTTTGCAACTCAATCTTGTACCCTGCAGCAGAACTGAGAATTGTTACACTTTGTGTTTAGGAATTAGACTTTCTGGACTCGAATGTATCAATGATCTTGAAGGTGTTTGTGAAGAGGTCTTGCGCATTGTTGGGTGTTGACGGCGGACTGTGTTGGAAATCGTCACCCAACCGATTCACAGTGTTCAATGCAGTCCAGGCTACTACGGCCACAGTGTTCCAGGTGCTGATGCAGGCAACGATATTCAACGAATGCAGCATGCTGCACGTGAGTTCTCAAAGCGCCGCTTTTCAGGGGCAACTTAACCAGACCGTTTGAATGGAGTAGATAACTTCCTGACAAGGTCAGTGAGGGGTTAATGAGTAGTTTGGTAGCTGGAGGTTTCCCCGTTGCGCAACACTTTGAGGTGGCCCCCACTGGGATCTAACAAGCACTGGGGTGACTGGAGGCTGGGCCGTTTGAGCAGTGGCCTTTTGAACTTCCATGGATGAAGAATTTGTGTATACCCTGTAGGATGTGGAAGTGAAGCCAAATATTGACCCAATGCTGTAGCAGTAACTTTACCCAGATGAGGTGCCAGTCAACATAGAGAAGCGTTTCCTTCTGGTCAGCTTTGTTCCACTCTTGTTTTGGTCCACACAGGCTATGGCCACACTGTCACTGGTGCTTCAGGCGACCGTTCCATGCTGCTTGACTTGTTGTGCTTTGCCTGCTTGCAGAAGCAGTAGACATTCCTCAACGTTTGGTGGGGACCCTGAGAGTTCTGAGTCTGAGTCTACTGGCCCGAGAACCGGAGAAGCCAGAAACCTGAGCGTGAAGCCATGGAGTGCCCGGGTCGTGCCCGCGACTATCGAAGTGGCAGCTTCATTACCTGCACTGTTCTCACGACACTGACCTTGGTGGTTCTTTTTGCCACCACGGGAGTGGACGACCTGCACCAGCACTGTTACTCTATTTGCTCCTCGCTACACAGGAACTTCGAAGTAAGAGAAGTGTAGGTGTTGTTTCTTCATTTGATATATTATATATATATATACTTAGATGGATCATGATTCATGGACGATTGTTTTGGATTATAGACATATAGATAGAATATTGTATAATAATTTATATATATATATAAGATTATATAAGTATATATAGGTGTTCTATGGCATATGGTTGATGATGTTCTACCAGTTTTGCCGGTGACACGGTCATTCTTCTGTGTTGCTCTACCAAGGTCCAGGACCAGATTGTGGGTGGATTTGCAGCCGCCTCACCGAATACCGGGGAATGGAGAAAGCGATCTATCTCATTTTGAGCGTAGTCATATTCCTTTGCATCGTCTCGGCCATCTCTTGTGGATGTTTCAAGGACTGGGTGTCGAAGTTTTGCCAAGTGCAAGGTTGTTGAACGTTTTGCCGCTAGTTTTTGCTTGCCCCTGCTGCGTTCTAGTCGTCAGGAAGTCCTTGGGTTCACAGCACAGCGTAGTGGGTTTCAGTACTGACAAGCGTTGCCTGTATTTACTTGCTTGATCAAAGGAACGCTGGAGTTCACGAGACCGACATTGCACACCTGACACTTGGAGGAGGTGCTGCAGATACCCCGCTGCCCAGATGACTGCAACACAAGATACGTTCTTTGTGGACGGCCTTGCTTTGTTGCTGGTCTCTTGCTGCTCACCCTCTTTGTGTATTGGCTGATCGCGGTTGGGAGAACCACGCTATTGTCCGCAAACACCAGCGCAATTTTTGTGTATATCTTTGCCTTGGCATGGCTGGCAATGCCCTTGGTTTGCTGCGGCTTAGCACGCTTGCTGGTACCAGACGAGAAGGCGGAGAAAGGCGACGAAGATCGAGCCTTGATCTCCTCCCGTGATGCGCGGGCTGCACCCTGACATGTTTCAGGATGTGTGAGGTACAGGACACTTATGCTCTCACATATGATGTTTCACACGGTGCCGTTGCGAAAGATGAAACAACAAGCTGCTCCCGCTTCACCAGTATGGAATTGCAAGAGCATGTTCCTCCACTTACGAATGTGGTTTTAGCGGTGGGTGCTCTTGATGTTTGTTTGATTCTCGATGAGCTGCTTGTTTTGGAAGGCTTTGACACATCTCCTGCCACAGCTACAGGCACGGGCTCACTTTAATTACACATCAGAAATTCGTGGTTCCTGAGTGAACAACTTGGATCTGATGGCTCAAGTGCTATAGTTACCGTATCAGCTTTCGATGCTGTTACCGCAGCCGTAGACATCAGTGAAGAGATTCTTGCCAGCTCTACAACTCAGAGAGATCGAGGCCGTAGATAGGAGGCTCATTCTGCCTAGATTCTGCCTATTCGCTTTAGAATTGTTTTTGGATCCTAGTCTCGTCACTCGGTCGCTGCACGTGCCCCAGCTCTGGGTGCTACCTTCGAGCCTCAGCCTTACAGGACCGCGACACCAGCATGGTGACGTGACCAGATTGACCGAGAATGGCAATCGAATCTCATGGAGTTCTCACGGTTCTCACGGAGTTGATGTTGATAGGATTGGGGGAATGTACATATTTCGGCTACACCTTTTGCAAAGCCCTTTAATAACTCTTCCAAACATGTCTGGAGTCTTCTTCCTGTGCACCGGACTTGAATTTGATAGGAGTTACTATGAATGGGTGCTTAATGGGAAGCTACAGCCGTAGCTCAGATTAGACACACTCAAGACATTTTGCGTTCGATCTGATTGCACCAAGTCCTCCCGGAAAAAAAAGGATCCTAAGTAAATATCAGGTGGTATGTAAGTCGGTAGCATCTGTCAAATGATCCAACCCAAAGGCTCGAGCATCCAAGACTCAACGCGTGACTGCAGAGTGCAAACCGATGCAAAGGACGATGCTCTAGTTAAATGCAGTGTAGGACCCACCAGCTGTACTTAGATGCCCAGGTGCGGTCAATAGCAGGTACGTTTGCACAAGCGCTGCATGAGCGTTTTCATTGGCTCTCGTCTCATGCAGGCTCCGAGAGCCCCCTGCTAACTTAAAGTCAAGGACCCCCCTTTGATTCCAAGCATTACACACACAATACACACATGAAGCCCAATGAAAGCATTGTCACCAGATCATATGGAACATATGGAAGCCTACTATGGTCGCATTGCTGTGATCTAGGGAAGTCAGGGAAAGGGTGCTGGCTCAGGACGCATCACGATGCGATTGACCAGGCATCGGCGGGCGTTCAATGCAAACCAGGGCCGCCCGGAAAGTGTTCTCGTGCTTTTGGTGCACTTATATATGCTTATTATATATATAATATATAATATATCTTTATATACTTATACCACTCTTCTTGCAACCTTTCCTGGCCCTGCGACTGCGACTGGAAAGGGCCTTCCATCACCTGCTGGCCAAGAAGGATTTCAACGTTTGCAGGTGCCATGGTGGGAGCAGGGTGTTGAAAACAATGTGTTTAAATGCGTGTGCTGGCCTTTGTACAGTACCCAGTGCATCTCGGGTGCTGTTGTTTGGCCCCTTGAGCTGGCGAGTAGAAAAGTTACAGAGCGGCGTGTTTGAGAAAAAACACATGGTGAAAAATACAGTTCGAAGACACTGCAAGTACCGTGAAAAGTTTTTGAACATGGGTTTGAAACCTAGGCGAAATTTGATGGAGGGAAGAGACTGGGAAAATGACAAAACGTCATATGATAAAAACTCTTATAATGAAGGAATGTGAAGGATACATGGCCTCTACCAAACGGAGGTTTCGGATGACAGGAGAAAATTCCATGAAGGGAAGGTTCAACCCAGGATCACCATTGTTTGTTAAGAGAAAAGGTTTGAAAAGGGAGACGAGGGTTGAACAAATACAGCATCATTTGTTTAATCCAGGAAGGCCTTTTTGACAACTCTGCAAAGAAGAACCCGTATTTGTTTACAGTAAAGACTGTAGTTACTTGCAGCGGTGTTACATCAGTAATTTATGCATGAATGTTTGCAGCACATTGCATTAGATGATTGACAACTTGAGTTTCTAATTATTTACACAAAAGGAGCTTGGTAAAGGAGTGTGTCTTTTGTTATAGGATGGTCAATTTCATAAAGCAGAGACCATGCGCAAAGGAGAAGATGTTTAAAGAAAAAGATTGGGTGAAATAGCACTAAACATGATGCCCTTGCAACTGACAATGCTGTCATTTGTAGAGGATAAGGCATTTACACAGGAGTAGGCTTTTTGAAGGATGATGTCTCAGTGAAAAAACTTCAGTTTAGGATTGGGTGAAATCAACACTGTAAAATACTGTAAAGGATAGTGTTTTGAATGAGTTTGAGCTGAAAAGTCATCTCTCTAGTCTCTAGAGCACCGGCTTTTAAACTAGGAGACAAAGATGTTGGACCAATGTGTGATATGTGTGCTCGATTGTTTTCGTTTGTGAGTCTGTGAGGATATGCAAAAGGTATATTTCAAGGCAAGCCCTCGACGTTCCGTATTCGGGGGTTCAAGAACATGTGACATGCTGTCAAATCCCACTACGCCTCATACAACAAGGTTCGCTACTAGAAACAAGTGCATCGCTACTAGTAACAAGTGCCTTACTAGTAGTAACAAGAAGCTAGTAGAAACAAGTGCCTTACTGTGCTCCACGTGACGACTACGAAGGACCATTTGTCCGAGGATCACATGGGCAGTGCCAAGCTGCCAACTGTGCTGTGATTTGGAAACGCAATGCTCTATTTTTATTAGCCCGCTCGCTCTCACCCCCCTTCCTACTTAATTAAGTAGAGACTACCTACTCAATTAAGAAGTAAGGGAGAGGTACCTAGGACGCAGGATAGCTCACGCTTCTTCAAGGAAGCTCGCCCCACCTGAGGGCGCCGGGGGGGTCCTTGAAGAAGCGCTCGCACTATTTATTTGGTTCCTAGATTCTTAGGGAAACTAAACTTAACTTAATTGCTACTGTGTGGGGTCAAGACTCCCTACCTTCTTTGGAACTTCTTTGCAGACGGAGCTCTCATCCTTGAAACATGAGATGTCGCAGCTGAAGCAGGCACGCTGTGGCCTCCACGTGGTCAGCGTAATTCATTCCCGCTTCACTCATCTTCAGTAAGAATGGGGAAGAGGAGCAGTATCTCGAAGCTTGACTTGTCATTTTATATCATGTTATCTATCTTCTGATTCCCAGGGGCGAGCAGTCCGCTCGTATGACTGATATATCATGTTATCCGTTAAAGTATCTTAATGCTTATATAGGGTTCCATCCCTCCATTCCAAGGTAGGGGTACCTTTTCAGATCCTGGACAATTCAATAGTGACGCCTGGTTCGTAGAAGCTGGTTCGTGTGTGGCCAGTAGCACCTGGGAGAATCTCAGAAGCATATGCCGCCTGGCCGCTGGCCAGGGGTATGAAGAGGTCAAGGAGCAGCAGGCAGATTTGGGGTGATGCTCTTCAGCCTGGACTTTGGGTGCTACCCAAGTTGCATGCTGGATCATGACGAGGGTGAAGGACTTCAAGAGGGTCCCAAGTCTCATCATCCACAAAGCCACTCGATATCAGACAAGCGCACTCAACGAAGAATGCCGGGTAATTTACAGAGCAATTGCAGCAGGCTCCATGGACTTTAAAAAAAGGCAAATATCACTCCAAAATGTTGGAATCGATCCATTGACAGTTGATTGACCCTGAGGGAATGAATTCGTTGGTCCGAGCGTTTGCACTCTTCGAGTTTCTGGCGCTGGAACACTCCGACCGTCACCAGACCACTTCTTCGGAGGAGAACCTGGGCACGACCGTCACCAGCCTGAAGGAGCGACAGGCGGAAGAGGATGATGATGCCACTCGGCAATTGGACAGACAAGACATGTCAATGGACGTGTGGTTGCGGGGAATCCAAGTTAGCTGCCGGTAGGCGGAACAAGCATGAACTAGCGGGACCGCAAAGGTGATCACAAGTGACGAAGTCATGATTGACTTGATGTTTGATGATATGTGTGGTCTGTTGCATATTTATAAAGCAAAATAATAGTAATAATAGTAATAAAATAATAACAATAATGATAACAATAATAATAACAATAATAACGATATATATATATATAATTGAGTATATATGTATATATATACACAAAAATCCAGGGTACCTGCCTGAAAAGATGATCATTTTTGTTGGACCGCCCAAGGTTCTGGAGTGGTGGAAGGATCCAGGCTGGTGGAGTGAGGAGTGATAAGGGGATACCCGATCCCTTTCTTGTCTTTTGATTGTTGAGGAAATGCTGCGCATTGCTGTGCCTCGTTTCTTCTTTTCTGGAAAAGGGAGGTAGGCCGTGAGGCCATGAAGGAGGCAGGATGGGGGGTAGAGAGGTAGAGAGACTAGCTTTCCTTTCTTGCGTAGACAGATTAGACAGTCAACACAGCTGGCTATGCTTTCTCGGAGGCCCTCAAGGCCCCACTTTGCCGATTGCAGTCTTTGCGTGTTGAGCTTAGCTGGGTAGAGAATAGCCAGGGGGCCTGGTGTCAAGCTTGAAATGCTTTTGGACACCCTTCTTGTCGCATGGGAACTGTAAAGCCAGCAACAAAGCGACCTGTGTGGGTCCATGGTAGGGGGCTGTAGGACTGGTGAAATGTGGACGTGAGTCAATTTCAACCGAGCCTCCTTGGGTGTTTTGAAGAAGAGACAACCTCCAGCGCATTCACAAGGTCAAGCCAGGCCAAGAACAGTTGTGCATGGCTTGGAACAGGGCCCAAAACACCCAGCTGGAACACCCCGCAGAGACTCCGATCGTCCAGTCAGAGACTCCAATCATCCAGACCCAGGCCCGGCACCGCACCAAAGGAAAGTTCGGGGCCCAAAGCACAACTGAAGACCCGTCGCATCTTGGCAACCTGTTAGAGCTCCAAGTGTTCGCGAGGCATTACAGTATTATCTGTTACTATCTGTAACTCATACTCAAAGGCCTGACTCGCATCATCCGGCGACTTCACACGTTTCAAGCTTAGGCGAAGTACAG